TTGACAGGTCGTTGGTTTTCGGACCCTGGATGGCTTCCAAGACGGCCAACAGATGGCTAAGATGGCCCAGGATGGCCTCCAAGTTCGCCCAAGATGGTTCAATATGGCCTCCAGGACGGCCCAAGAGGATCCCAGATGCCCCCAAGTTCGCTCAAGAAGCCACTAAGACAGCCCAAGATGGCTCCAAGATGGCCAAAGACTGCCCAAGAGGCCCCCAGGAGGCCTCCAAGACGGCCCAAGAGGCCTCCATAAAGTGCCTCAAGAACCTCGAAGGGACAAACATCATTGATTGTTTTTAGATGTTTGAAAGATTTTGGTATTTGCTTCGATTCGGCCTTCGACGGCCCGAGGCAGCCCAACGGGCCCCCAATATTTCCCCAAGATCGCCCAATATGCCTTCAAGATGGCCCCAGGATGGCCCAAGAGGCCTTCCAGACTACCCTGAAGCGCCCAAAGAGGGCCCCACGACGGCCCAGAGAGGCTTCCGACGGCGTTAGACGGGCCAGGAACGCCGTAAAAGTTTCCACAGAGGCCCCTCAAGAAGCCCCCCGCGAAGGCCCCCAAGTGGCTCTGTGAGGCCCCCAAGAGCCCTCCAGGATGCCCCCAGGAGGCCACCCGAATGACCCAAGAAGCACCCGAAAGGTCTCCTCATCCTTCTCATCCTCCTTTTTCCTCCCTCTCCGAATTCTCCTCTTCCTCTCCCTCATGTTCACCGAAGGGCTTCCACATCGGCTGAGGCAACGCATGGTCCAACAGCGTAGCCAAACGTCGCCCAATCGTTTGGCCACACAGGCGTATCCTAAAAAGGCAGGGGGCGGCGGTGGTTCGATGTATGCGTCTTCGATAACCCGCCAGCCAATCATCAAGCCAATCAGGGACGGGCTGCCAGCGACAGAGGGCGAATCCCCGAGGAAAGCGTCAACGAGTCCGCGCCCGCTTGCTATTCTCAAATGTGCTGCGCGTGGAACAGTCGAGGCACGACCAGCCCGCGCGTGACATCGGCAGTGGTGCAACACTTGAGGGGACAGACGTGTGCGTGAGAGCCAGCAAACGTGTCTCACCATATGTAAGCACCGTGGCGACGTCGTAGCAGAAGCCAAGCGCTGCAAATGTACAGGCCGCTATACAGCACACGAGTCATCCTGGAAGCCAGCGCACCACAAGACGGATTGATTCTCGAGGTGGAAGCGCCCATAGGAATTTCACTCTAGGCCCTCCATCTTAAGGTAATGCTTAGATTCGGATGGCGGCCATCACCTACGATGCATGTAAGGACTAGGACTGCACCAAGCACGATTGGAGCAACGAGTACAGCACCACAGTCAAATATATCCGCGGTCAGCGGGTGGCATATTCAGGCCATGCCATGTGGCGGCGCGAGGGTAAGTGGGTGTGTACGGAGTGGTCGCGTTCCCCAGGGATTGTGCAAAATTGGGGGTTACGCGAAGGGCGCCAGTGTCGGACCCATCGTGTTGATCATTGCTACGCAGTTCCACTCAACCGCGGATGGAAAATAATGCGAGCTTTGATCGTAACGTTGAGTTCCGCCATTCTAAAGCTGCGCGTTCCTGGCTGGGCACGATCGGCGGCTGCCTCTGAACACGAAGAGGTGAAGGCGAAATGCGTTTTCATTTTTGTTCAGCAGGCGGTCGTTGGTGTCTGGGCCGTCGCCCGGCTCATTGGATGGCAGAATTCCAACGTTCTGAGTTGGTTTCTTGTTAACCGCTTCCATCCACGGCATAACTTTGAGGTGATCGAGGTGAGCGGCGATGCCATCCGCAATGCCCGTCCCGTCATGTCGCTGTGGCCCATGGGTAGGTCCAGTGCTGCAGCTGTGCTCTCGCAGGGTCGCAGCACAGGGAGGACGGAGGAGGCAAGCTCCACCGCCCACCAAACCACCCCAACCCAACCCGATGGCCCCGATCTGCCCTCCATCTCTAGTGGAGGGGGAGGGGTCGGGGAACACTGCAAAACCACATGGAACCCGTACCCCCCCCAACCCGAAATTCGGGTCAAATTCGGGTCTTCGGGTCGGGTTGGGGTGGTCTGACGGTACTTTTTGGTCGGCGGCTCCAAGACAAGGGTCAGGAAGCGGGATAAACGGCTGGGGCACATGTCGTAGATAATTGGCCAAAGCAGCGCGTAAGGCGCAATGGCGAGTGCACGTGCCAGGGACAAAATGACCCTCATTCGAGGTGACCGGCACAACTGGTCTGGCAGGTACTGGTAGGCAGTCAGAACAGGGGGGGATGGCGGAGGCGAGCTCTCGGAGCTGGTGGGGCCCCTTCTGGCGGGCGCCTGGCCGGACGGGCGGCGCCCGGGCCCCACGCGCGGGACGCCCGCGGGCCCGACGGCCTCTTCCCCGCCCCACGGCGGGCGGCCACGGACGCTCTGTGCAGCGGCGAGGCGCCGGGGAGCTGGCGCCGCAGGCGCTCTGCCGCGAGAGAAGATCGACCACAGTGCCGTTTTTCATACATGCTCCGCGTGCGGAGCATGTAATAAACAACAACGGTAAGTTCATGTATAAATGCATAGATACATTAATCATGTATTAAAATCCGATTCTTAAAAATCCCATGTGTTAAAACCTGCCCTGTACACGCAAGAGTGGCCCTTCGCCAGAGTGGCCTTTGGTGCGGGCCCATGTAGGGCCCTCCGATCGCCGGGCGCGGTGCGAAGGCAGCGTCTCGCGCGCTCGTGTTTTGCCCCCCCCCCCCCCCCCCCCCGCAGCCCCCAACGAAGCCGCGCACCACAGGTCACTCTTGCCCAGGAGAATCGGGAAGGAGGCTGGCGCTCCGCTCCGCGGGGCCCACCGCGGCCTCCTCCGAGGCGGCGCCGGGAGTCCTGCAAGCAGGGCCTGGGCCTCTGTGGGGCCGCCGTCGGCCGCGGCCCGCAGGCCGCGCGGGGCGCGGCGGCCTGCCGTCCGCACGCGCGCGGCGACCTGCCGTCCGCGCCGCCCCCCGCGTCGATAGGAGGAGGAGGAGGAGGAGGAGGAGGAGGAGGAGGAGGAGGAGAAGGAGGAGGAGGATGAGGAGGAGGACGAGGAGGAGGGGGAGGAGGAGGAGGAGGAGGAGGAGGAGGAGGAGGAGGAGGAGGAGGAGGAGGAGGAGGAGTAGGGGGAGGGGGAGGGGGAGGAGGGGGAGGAGGAGGATGAGGAGGAGGAGGAGGCGGAGGAGGAGGAGGCGGAGGAGGAGGAGGAGGGGGAGGAGGAGGAGGAGGAGGAGGATTCCTTCTCCGGCCCTCCTTCCTTCAAGCAGTGGCGAAGCGTCCTGGCTCGCCCATAGGCCCACCAAAGAGAGTCCTGAGAACCCTTCGGGGTTGGCACGACATGTTCTTAGAACATTTCTGGTTGGGACTGTCTTGTTCTATCACATCGGGTTAATGTTCTAAGAACATTGTTTTTGTGATTTGATCATTTTGGGGTTCTAAGAACATGTCGTGGTATGACTATAGGAATGCCGGGACGGTCGGCCCCTGCTCAATTCCTTCTGCCTCTTCGTGGCTCCGCCCTGCTTGTTCCTCATGCGTCCTTGCTCCTTCCTCCTCGCGCCTTCTCCTCGTGGCCCGGCGCCGAAGGGGGAGAGGAGCTCCAGGTTGTTTTGCAGAGGGCAGGCGGGCGGCGGTGGTGGCCCGCGGAGGCTAGCTTTCCGCCCGCCCCCAGGTTTTTGTCCCCCGCCTATCCCCCGGTTGGGATAGTCCTCCTCCTCCTCCTCCTTCTCCTTCTCCTCCTCCTCCTCCTCCTCCTCCGGCTTCGGCCTGGGCGGGAGGTTTGGCCAGTCCTCGGGCAGTGATTGCCAGCAGCCTACTGTTACGTCGGGCCCGTCCCTCCACGGGAGGAGTATTCAAAAATTGTAAAACACTAGTCTGGGGTCTATTTGATATCGTATCTATTGACCATTTTGGAATATGTTTTGAGTCTTTTTTGTTTTCCATCGAAAATCCCCCTGTAGGGGGACACGCCCGACTCAAGGCTACTGCAGGGAGCTCCTGCTGGAGTGGGCGGGTGTCCAGCAGACGGCTGGCCCGCGTCCCACGGGCGGCCGCAGGCCGCGATTCTCAGGGGCGTGACGTGAGCGAAGGCGTTGGCCTGGGGCCCCCTACGGCTCCACCACCAGCACCAGCTGTTCGTCCCCCTCCGTGTCCCCCCGACCTTCTTCTGGCCCGGACTCTGATGGGTTTCCATATTTTGTCGGGCCCCCTGAGCTGCTAGTGGTGGTGGGGATGGTGATTCTGACGAGGGAGATGGATGCGGCGGTGGTTGTGGTGATGATGGTGATGATGATGTTGATAATGACGGTGATGATGACATTGCTGATGATGATGTTGATGACGATAATACTGATGATGATGAATGATGCTGATGATGCTGATGATGCTGATGGTGATGATGACGATGATGGTGATGGTGATGGTGATGGTGATGATGGTGATGATGATGGTAACTGTGATGATGACTATGATGGTGGTGGTGATGCTGCTGTCGATGATGATGATGATGATGATGATGATGATGATGATGATGATGATGATGACGACGATGGTGATGGTGATGGTGATGGCGATGGTGATGATGCTGGTAATAAGATGATGGTGCTGATGATGATGATGATGATGGTGGTGGTGATGATGATGATGATGATGATGATGATGATGATGATGATGATGATGGTGGTGGTTGTGAGGATGCTGATGCTGATGCTGATGATGATGCTGATGATGGTGGTGATGCTGATGATGCTCATGGTGGTGGTGATGATGATGCTGATGATGATGATGCTGCTGTTGATGGTGATGATGATCGTGATGGTGGTGGTGGTGATGGTGGTGATGATGATAATGATGATGGTGGTGATGATGATGAGAAGGAGAACGAGGAGGAGGAGGAGAAGGAGAAGGAGAAGGAGGAGGAGGAGGAGGAGAAGGAGGAGGAGGAGGCGGACGAGCAGTGTCACGGCCGCAGCTGCCAGTGGAGACGGAAGCGGGAGGGACCTCTGCGGCAGGACCCACGGCTACTTCGCGCCGGAGCTCCTGGACAGAGAGGACTGGAGAGCCGCTGCTTCCAGGCCAGACATCGTGGCGACAAAACAGGCGATGTCCTTCCAGGCCAGGTGCTCTGTGCCACCCACGAGAATATTGGCGGAGCAGTCTCGGCGGGCGATCTGTCGTGGCTTCGGCGTCCTCTCGGGCCACGGGACCCTTCAGCTCAACCGGGGTCACCACCAATGGGGTCGCCAGCCCCTTCCGCAGGGCTCGTTTCGATTCCTCCGATTCGATTCGGTTTCCATGGCTTCCGATTCCGATTGGTTTCGACTTCGGACTCCGATTTGGGATCCGATTTTCACTGGAGGCCGACTAGCCTGCCGATTTCCGCCGATTCGACTTTTCCCGACTCGGTTGCCGATTTCCGCCGATCCGATTAATCTCGATCGCCGGTCCGACTTGTCGATTCGATTCTGGGATCTCCTGCTTCCGAGGATCGAGGTCCGAGGATGGGCTGAACACCTGTTTTACGACGTCCTGAGCGTTTCGATCGGTTTTTTGGCGGGCTTCGGGGGTCCTGACGGGTCGCCGCCTTCCTCATGGGGCAGCGTGTGCGGGGTGCAGGCTCTCAAGGGGGACGCATCGACCCCCAATCGCCCACTCATCGCCGATAGGGGCCCCATACAGTCGGTGCGCTGGACAAGGAACCCTTTTCGTTTGGGAGGGGCTCGGTGTTCCTTGACTGTTTTACCGTTTGCCTCGGATTTTCCTTCGGTCTTCCATGGGAAATCGAAGTTAACATATGGGAAAGAAGGGGCCTCGTTCCCTACTTAGGGTTCCTTGGGTCAACGCCCCGACTGTAGCCCGCTCCGCTCGGGAGCGTGCAGTTTCGCTCTCAGGGGTCGATAGGCCGATGTATCGCGACGTATCGCGGATTCCACCTCTTACCGGCCTCGAACGTATCCCTATCCCTAAGATTGACACGCCAAAAGGCGACGACAATCTTAGGGATTCGCCCTCAAAAAATAAGGGAACCCTTATGATTGGCATCGTGATGAGGAGGTGCCCAGCATAGGGGTAGGGATATGTTCCAGGCTGGTAATTCTCGATGTGTCCCACCCCTGAGCCAGTCCCATAGCCCGCCCCGCACGGCAGCGTGCAGTTTCGCTCTCGGGGGTCGATAGGCCGATCTATCGCGGCGTAGCGCGGATTCCACCTCGACGTGTCCCACCCGCTGAGCCAGTCCCACGTAGTCCGGGACGGGCTCAACGCCCTCACGTCGCCTCCGGCAGCGTCCCCCTGGGGCGCTCCGCGCCCCAGGGTCGGGGCGTTGAGAGACCGTCCCCCGGACTGCTCGGGGCGCCCGGTGAGGCCCGCCCGGACTGCCTGGAGGGGCTGCCTGTGTCTTGGCATCGCTCGGACGTGTGCATTTTTCCCTCGGCGAGGGCCATCGAGGAGCATCCTTGATCATGTCGCGAAAAGACCACGCACGAAACCGACAAAAAACACAGGGAGTGGACGTCCGAGCGATGGCCAGGTGTGCGGCCTGGAGCCTTACCAAGCGGCGCCCCCCTCCCTGCATGGCATGGCCTGGCTCACGTGGTCCGCGCTGCGAGCGGAGCCGTTGCCTGACAGACCCGCCGGGCCTTCCTGCCCCCCCCCCCCTGCCCTTCGCCTTCCCTTGCCTGCGCCCCTGCGCATGCCTCTCGCCGCGCCTGCTCCTCCTTCTCCTCCTCCCTTCCTCCCTGCCTCGTTCCCTGCCCTTCCCTATTCTTAAGTCCGTCCTGTCCTCCTACAGGAAGAATAGTCAGAAGTGGTCAAGAACTAGTCTGGGGACGCTGTTTGGTTTATTTTTGGCTATGTTTGAACATTCTTTGAACATTTAATGTTTCGTCCAAAATCCGCCTGTAGGAGGACATGCCCGACCTAGCCCTATTCCCCCTCCTCCTCCCCCCCCTGGCATTTCTGCGACTCCCCGTGGCACTGCCTTGTCGGCGTGCTGCCAGGCCCTCCGCGCGCCCTCCCCTCCCCCTTCGGGCCCGGGACCGCGGCCACGCCCCAGACGTTCCAGACGTCTCGGCAAGACTGGCCGTGTTTCGCCTCTTTCTGCCGGAGGCCGCGGGGGAATCCACGCCGAGAGATGCTGCGGGAGACCACGCCCTGGCATCCTCGCGCTTCGACAGAGTCACGACGGGGGGCTTTCTGGCGCCGGGGATGGGGTCCAGGCCCACGCTGTCGAAGATCACGACGTCGGACGTCTGGGTACGGGAGCTCGTCGAGACGACATGGGAGGCCACGGGCATGTCCTGCAGAAGGCATCACGGGAGACCACTCGGGAGACCCTTCGGGAGACCATCGAGTCTCCGAGTCCGCTGCCGGCCAGCCCCCCCCAGGGCCCCCCCCCCCGGCCTTTCTGCCTTTCTGGCGAGCCGTTTTTCTGCGGTCAAGCAGCCACAGATAGCGTGCACAAGCCCCCTCGAGGGACAGCAAAATATTCAAACGAGTACGCGCTATACGCCGACTCCTCGGAGCAATTCCATTGTCAATTGTAATAGAAATGCCAACAACAGTGAGACGTGCACTCTATACGACCCCTGTTTAGAATGCACTTCAAAGTCTCCATGTGCACTCGGTCTGTGGCCACTTGACCGTGAAAACGTGTTGCGGAGGAGCTGTCGATAGAGAGACCCCCACCACACACCCCGCAGGAACCTCGGCTCAGCGTGTCGCGCCGCTGGGTTCTAGAGGTTCTGGCTCGCCGAGAAACAGGAGGAGGAGGAGGAGGAGGGGGAAGAGGAGGAGGAGGAGGAGGAGGAGGAGGAGGAGGAGGAGGAGGAGGAGGAGGAGAAGGAGGAGGAGTTCTTCGGCGCGGCACGCGGGCCACGTGTCCCAGTCAACAGGCCTCAATGTTATCCCGCCCCGCGGGGCAGAGCGACACGCCGGTCAGCTCGCTCGGCGTGGCGTGCTGCCGGGGCCGCTGCCGCGACACGCGGATCCTTAAGTCGGGCCTGTCCCCCATACAGGGGGATTTTCGACGAAAAATAAAAACTACCCTAAAAATAATCAAAAAAATCGCCCAAAAATAGTCTGGGGATTATTTTTTGAGTATTTTTTATCTTTGTGGAGCATCTTGGGGGTATTTTTTTATTTTTCGTCGAACGTCCCCGCGTAGGGGGACAGGCCCGACATAAGCGAATCAAAAGTTCCTGCCCGTACGCGGAGTTTCGAGTTGTGTCCAGGCTGGTTTCTATGCTGCGAGAGCTCCTGCAAAACTGCACCTGGCTGAGCTGCGTTTTGGTCGACTGGGGAGCCCGGGCCCCTCCCCTTCGGGTGCTGCCAGGGGTGTCCCCGGGCCAGTGCCTCCACGGCCGTTCGTTCCACTCTGGAGCCCCATGGGCCCCTCTCGGCCTCGCAGTGGGATGCTCTCTGCAGGGCGTGTGTGGCCTCCTTGGATCTCTGGGGACAGACTGAGCCGATGACACCTCTGGCAGCACCCGGGGCCTGGTCGGGGCGCCCCGTCAAGCAGTGGCGAAGCGTCCCGGCTCGCCTATAGCCCCACCAAACAGTGTTCTAAGAACCTTTTGTGGTTCCCACGGAATGTTCTTAGAACAGGTCTGGCTGGGACTGTCTTGTTTGAACACATCGGGTTTATGTTCTAAGAACACTGTTTTTGTTCTTAGAACATTTTTGTGCTCTAAGAACATTTCGTGGTAGGACTATAGGAATGCCGGGACGGTCGGCCCCTGCTCAAGTCCCCGCCCTTGGCACCCCGGCCGCCCGAGGACTACGACTGCGCCGTGGACATGTTCGCGCGGCCCCGCCCGCGGCGCGCGGAGGGGCTCGGCCCCGTCGCCCGCGGCCGTCGGGCAGTCGGATGGGCCGGGCAGTCGGGCCGGCGGTCGACGGCGGTCGGCGCCGATGTCGCCGCCTCCGCCGTCGCCGTCGACGTCGTCGTCGCTGCAAGCGTCTCCATCGTCGTCGTCTCAGAGGAGGGCCAGCCGAGGCAACGGAAGTTGGCCTGTGGTGGGCCTCCTCGTCGCCAAGGTTAGGGACGCGGCTCGGGAAATTTGTGTCAGGTTCGACCCCGGGAGGGGCCCGGGGACTGATTCTGAGCAGATTTGCCCTCGCCCCCCCTCTTGACAAATGTCTCGGGGTCCGGCCGCTTCCACGTCTCCATCGTCGTCGCCGTCGTCGGATATTAATGGTTGTAGAGAGTCATTGGTGTTGGCCTATGGGGGGCGATTCTGGGATCTCTCGCCTCGACGCTGGCTGCATTTTCTTTGAGAGTAATCCAATAGCCCTTATAACGGCGACGATGGAACACAGTGCCGGGGAACTGCTTTGAACATCACCAGTCGTTCAAAGCAGTGCCCCGGCACTGCTTTGAACGATGCGGAAATGCGATCAGCAGGAGCCTTCGTCTGTTCCTTCTCCTCTTCTCGTCGCTGTATGCTCTTCCTTGTCCTCCCTCCTCCCCCGTTCCCTCTCTAATTAATTACCTCGTTCTCCCAGTCTCACGCGCACTCTTCCTCCCCCCTCTCCTCCTCCTCTTCCTGCTTCTCCTCCTCGTCCTCCTCCTCCTCCGCCTCCTCCCCCTCATTTGTTATATTTCTCCGTCCTTGTCCTCCTGTCCCCGTTCTCCTTCTCCCTCTCCTCCTCCTCCTCCTCCTCGTCGTCGTCGTCCTCCTCCTCTCTCCTCCTCCTCCTCCTCCTCCTCCTCCTCTTCCTCCTCCTCCTCCTCCTCCTCCTCCTCCTCCTCTTCCTCCTCCTCCTCCTCCCCCTTTTCCTCTCCCTCCTCCTCCTCCTCCTCCTCCTCCCCCTTCCCCCTCTTCCTCCTCTGCTATCACTCCTCCATAATTCCTGTCCGCTCCTCCCCTTCACTGATCTTCCTCTTCGTCATCATCATCCCTTTCGTCGCACGCCTCTTAATCCTCAATCGGTTCCCAATCTTCTCGACTTTCTTGTCATCCGCGTCCTTGGCTGTTGGAGGGGCCTCAGGAATTCTCAGGGCTCTTGTGTTGCACGCGAAGGCACACCTCCCAGGAACGCATCATCCTCCTCACATTCACCCTCCTCCTCCTCATCCTCCTCCTCCATGCACGTTCGGCTCAAGCCCGCGCCGACGGTAGGTTTCACGGCGGTTGGGCGGGCTCGCGCCCGCCTCCGCGGCCTGCAGTCGGGGCAGAGATGCGTGCAGGGTGGGATGACAAAGCGGAAGAGGAAACACGGGCCGCAGTTGCGGATTCTTCAAAGAGCAGCGGCGGCGGTTGGGGAACAAGTGGGGGTTGGGGCGGCCGCAGTGGCGGATACGGCGGCGGAGGTGACCGCAGTGGCGGCTGGGGCGGCGGAGATTCTCTTGGCGGATGGAGAGGAAAAGCGCAGGATGGCGGCGACGGAAGTGACCGCAGTCGCGGATGGGAGGGCGGCGGATGGGGCGGCAACGGATGCGAGGGTTGGGGAATGGAGGGCGCCCGCTGGTGGGACGACGAGGGTGGCTGGTGGAATGCATGGGAAGGTGGCCGCTCGAGTGCCTCGGCAGGTTCTCCTGCCGCGGAGCCCGCGGCCGCAACAGCGGCGGGCAAAGGAGGCGGTCCCCTGCTTCCCCCAGGGCGCGAAGAACAAGGCGCAGTTGCGCTGTTTCAAATTGTGCGCAATGAGCCGCTGCCAATTTTCAAGTTGGAATTCTTCGAGAACTTCAGGGCGAACTGGAACGGCAATTATAAGCAGCACAACGCGGCCTTGAAGTGGTTCCGAGACGAGTACGAAGACCGAGAAAACCCTTTCGGCAGCCGCACGCCCGTCTTCGGAGGTACCGCAGTTGCGGAGGAAATTTCGAAGATCCTTAAGTACCGCGCAAAGGGGAAGGCGCAGGACAACAGGGATTGGGACTGGGACCACACTGTCAAAGTGCCGTGGTCTTGGCTGGAGATGGTCGCGCAGATGGATGGACCTACAATGCTGCGCGTCGTGTGCGGCCCTGACAATGACCGCAGTCGCGGGTTGGTCCGCTGCGAGTGCCGCCCGTGCCCTAGCAGTCTCGACAACATGAGGCACACGAAAGGGGTGGACAGAGGACAGGCGCAAAGAATCCCTCTGCCCCAGTGGGATTTCGTCCTCATCCGCGACGACGGCTCGGGCATTCGCGTCCACCCATCCTGGTCTAGCCCGAAGTTCAACACGTATGAGGTGGAGCCGCACTCGCATCCCGTGCGGGGCCCGAGGGCAGGTCTCGGCAAGAGCGATGGCCACGGAACGTTCACGTTCTGGAAGATGCTGCACGCCCATCCGAATCCTGGGCGGTTCGACGCGAGCAAGGGGGCGCAGCTGCAACCGCGGTGGTCCGCGCAGCCTTGACACCGCAGTTGCGGGATTGCGCAGCCATGGAACCGCAGTTGCGGAAACCGATCGCGTGACGCCGCGCTCGTTTGACTCACTATGCGCGCTTTCGGCCGCAGTTGCGGCGCTGCCTTCTAGCGACTTCATACAGCTTGGCCGCAGTTGCGGCGCTCCCACGACTGACCGCTGTAATTAGGTGCTTCGGGCGCGCATCACCTCCGTTGAAGCACTCGTGACGTTAATTAGCGCGGCCGCAGTTGCGGAGACAGGTACTTAAACAGATGGATCCGCAGTTGTTCGTCGTCCTCGTCGCCCCTTCCCCGTCGTCCTCGTCGCAGTCTCCTCCCTCCGCCTTTCCTCCTCGTCGCAGTTCCTTCCGTTGGCCGTAGCCCGCCTCCGTTGGCCGAGTCATTTCCCGTCGTCCTCGTCGCTTTCCCCCCCGAGGGCCGCAGTTGCGGACTTTGTTGATTCCTCCTCCTCCGTTTCTGCCCCGTCATCCTCGTCGCAGTCCCCTTGCTCCTTTCACCCTCGTCTGAGCTCTTCGCGCCATCCTCTTCCGTCGCGTCCTCTCCATCCTCCTCTTCGCCTTCCTCGTCCTCATCCCCGCCGTCTCCCTCGTTGCCGTTCCTCTCCCAAGCCGGCCGCAGTTCCCCCGTCGGACGGGGGCCGCGCGCGGCCACGCCATGGACCCAGCTCGCAAAGCCGAGGTCGACAAGCGGTTCGCCGAGCTGAAGCAGCAACTGCGGGAAAGGCTCGGCGTGCAAGGGGCTGCCGCGGATGCCGCAGTCGCGGAGCCGACGGGGGACCGCAGTAGCGGAAGCCCCGAGCGACCGCCGCGCGAGGCCTCCCCGCAGTCGTCTAGCTCCTCGCGGTCGGCCATCGAATATCGGCCGCCGCCGCCGATAAGCGCTGCGAGTGGGAGCTCTGCTGGTGGGAGGCGCGAAGAGGCGCAGTTGCGCAGGGCGCACTTGACCCCCAAGGCAAAATGGGGGCCTCGGGCGCAGACGCCGACGAAGCAGCAGGACCAACCAGCAGTGACGGGAGCCGCCACCGAGACCGCAGTTGCGGGGGTGGCCGGCGAGCCAGGTGCCGCGCGCGGCTCATCTGGGAGCAGCGCGCCCTCGGCCGTGCTGCTCGCAGCCGAGTCCAAACGAGGCGCCCAACCCGAAGACGAGGCCGCCTCCCAGGAGAAAGCCGCCGAGACAACCGCCTCGGCCGATTCGCGGCCGAGGAAAAGGCCGCCTCCCACGGAAGACTCGCCGCTGTCAGAACCGCAGTCGCGGGGTCGCGCGGGGCCTCCGTCGGAACCGCAGTTGCGGGAAGATGCGGGAGCACCGCGGAAGAAGCAGCGGACCAGGTCCCCTCCAGGGATAAAATACTTTGGGGAACACCCCAAGTGGAACGAAGGATTCCTTCGTACAGCAGACGGCAATCGGGTTCCGTCCACCATCGCTTTGGTGTTCAACGTGGTGGTCATCACGAAGGTGGCAACAAAGGAAGATGTCTTCAGGTGCATCTTGCACCAAACTGCGGCGGTCGTCTTCGTCGTATGGGACCCCGAGCTGTTCCGCACGGGGAACGTCGAAGGCGCTTGCAGCTACGACGTTCGCGTTGGACTCAGGAGTGCCATCGACAACGCTGTCACTATGAAAAACGCCTCCGAGGAGCCTTACTGGACGACGGTTCCCCTGTTCAGAGAGACGGGCCTGGTGCTCGTGCGCCCGCACATCATCGCAGAGACCGCAGTTGCGGGTCATGTTGTTGGGGCCACCCACGCCGTCACGATCCTGAGCTTTCGCCTGAAGGGCTCCGAGATGAATCCTGCCGCGGTGATCCGTTTTGCCGTCGTGTCCAGACACGCAGTCACCGAACGTCTCCAACACAAGATCACGCAAACAGAACAACAAGCGTGGCATCCAGCTTTCTTCAAGGACGCGGTTGCTGCCATCCATAAAAATGATGTGCGGTTCTTGTGCGGCCTGTTTGACATCCCGCCTGAGCAGCTCGCAGCATTGGGCCGCAGTTGCGGAGCCAGCTGCACCTGCCCGGTGGGGGTGGTGTTCAGGGCTGGACCCGCCCTGTTCGGAGGCATTGTGAAGGGCACACGCGTCATGCATCCGAATTACGTCCTCCCCATTGGCCCGTGCGACGTGCGCATTGCGGACTACAACATTGATTTTGCAGGGAGGCCGTCGAAGAACGATCCCCAGTGGCTCCCTGATTGGATGCATCGAACAAGCGACTCCATCATCTCTCGGCGCTGGGTTCCAGCGAAGTACATGCCCAAGTGGGAGGATGACCCTGACCGCAGTAGCGGAGTCAGAGAAAAGCTCCACTTGGCAGCGCTGCCCCCAATCGGCAAGGTCGTTCAGAAGGAGCTCAACGAGAAGACCTTCAGCACGCACTGGTGCGAGGGCATCCACCAAAACATCGTCTTCGTCGGCCACGGACGCGCAAGTCGGGCGAGCAAGCGGA